AGAGCAGGAGATAACTTATACAACTTCTTGATTTGAGTAAGAGGGATGGCATAACAGCAGGCTTTGGCAGTGATGTGCAAGTGAAGAGAGAAGCTTCACAACTAATGCAACAGAGATGGCAGAGCCAGGGCAGTAACACAAAGCAGAAAGCAACAAGTCAAAGCAAGAGACTAATATAAACAACCTACTCTGCAACTTTCTCAATGGCTGTGAAATCTAAGCTGTTTAGCTGTCAAGGACAGAAAAAGGGACTACACTGTAATTCAGATCAGTATGATCAAGTTGGATTAGACTGTAAATTGCTTGACAAGGTAGAAAAAAACAGAGAGAGAGATATGCTATAGAAGAACGAAGATTGAGACAGAGCCAACATAAGAGGTTTTAAGAACATCCAAGTCAAAGCTGTTGACTAAGCACAATCTCTTAACAAAAAAAAAACAGGACAGCAGAAACAGAAACTATGAGGGTTATAGAGCTGGGAATGCTCAATTGCACTGAGGCTGAAGCAACAGCTCAATCTTGAGGTGTAAGAAATGAAGACTAAGTTTTTTGGCAAAAGGCCACTCCTACTCTCACCCTTATGCAAAAAGCACATCAGAAACTAAAGCCTTTTAACACGATTGGTAGTGCAAGTACCCAGGCAACTATTATGGAGAAGACAAGTGTGATTTTTGGAAGGAATTAGCTATCCATCTGTGAAACAATGGTTAGATGGAACAGAAACACAGATTAGCAAAGCACACAAAACCCCACTTTGAAAACCCACCAACATGCTCTAGTTCGTGCTTTCCATGTTGTCACCTGACATCTTGAAATGCTCCAGGGTTCAGCAGGAGGAAAAGGCATGAGGGCATTTATCTTCAGAATGCAGTAGATCAGCTTTTTTTCAGAAGATACATCTAAAGCACTGTCATGCAAGTAATAATGAATCTCAACAGTGGGCATCAGCACAGCATGCCAGAATTTTGTAAGCACAGAACAAAACATAAGAGAACCACTCCATTGATTCTGCTTTCCATAAGCTTTCATTCTATTTTGATAGACACATACCCTTGAATATCCTCATGGACATTTTAAAAGCTGTAATTTCAACTCTGAGGTTTTGCAAGCTTTGTGTGGTGTATGATATCATCAACATTCTGAATGTAATTACAACTGCAATTTCGTGGGCTGTATTTTCTCTCTTGGTAGCCCAAAGCTGATGTTTACAAAAACTTTTCTGCACACTTATTTGATTTGAACTTTTTATTATTATTACAAATGTATATTATTTTATTAAAAAAATTCACACTGAAGCAAAGTCAATTCCATTTCATTACAACCAAGAATATAAAATAAATGCAATGAACTCATAGCTTAGTTTTAACAGTCATTTCAAGAGTGACATCAGGACAACTTAAAAGCAGTAAACTCTCAACTCTAGAATGAGAAACAAGTATTTTGCTTTGTGGTTTTGCTAGCCCACTGGCATGGGCACTGCTGAATGTGGCCACCACAGATCTAGAGTGGCAAAGTTTTGTGGCAGCATGAGGTGCATACACAATAATTTCCAATGGAAACTACAAAAATGAAAGATGTGTGCATGAAATTATTAGAAAAAAAACTGAATAGAGACAGGCACACTTCCACAAATAGTAAACATGGGAATATACAACTAGAACAATTTGAAAAGTTACTACCTTACATATATAAAAAGTTCTTTAAATTGCTGTTAAAAAGGACATGTTCTGTCCAGATTTTGTGTAATACTTTTTAGTGTCTACACAAGACAAATTTTTAAAAAAATTAAATAGCATTAATTTACTACTAAATATTTAGAAGATAACAGTGCATTAAGGACTTTTTTCATATAGTAATACACATCGCTTCTGTCTGGCGACATTTTTAGAAGATTACGTATGGCCTTATGTACAATACATTTATTTAATCCTAAAACAATTCTTTGCTTAATGGTGTTAAAGTACCATTCCTGAAGATTATGAAGGGGAACTAAGCTTATTATGTTTATATAAAATATTATACATATTTGAACACTTCTAGCTTCCCGCCACCCCTCCCGCTACGAATGCTCTTCCCTCCCCCTCCCCAGATACAGTGTCACAGATACAGTGCAGGACTCGCAGCTTCCCCTATATTTCTCCTTCATTGTGCAGTTTGTGCTACATAAACTTCACCAACATGGACCAGGCTGCTCATCCTATTCATTCCCCACGTGTTTGTTTCCTCTGAGCCACAATGGGAAAAGCTGTACCCAGCAGCCTGCTCTCCCACCAGGATGGAGAAGACAGTTCTGCCCGTGTCACCTGCATCTCTCAGCACAGGTGTGAAACACTTTGGTGAGGGTCTAAGGGTTATGGGCAGAGATAGAGCTATGAGCAATAACGAAACTGCACAGGCAAAAAAAACCAAAAATGACATGGTCCTGGTTTCCCATGACAAACTGCACGATTCGCTTTTGAAAGCGGAACATTTTTACCTCACGGGATGACCCCTAGACAGCAACGCTTCTTCCACTATGACGGCCACTGACCTCGGCAGCATGCATCAAGTTCCCAAGAAAAAGAGAATTATTTCACCACCAGGAAGGAACTACAAGAGTGTGCAGAGCCTATGTTTTGCAGCCAGCTCTTTTGCTTTTATTCACTCTCCTCCCAGCGGTGAGTTTGAAGGAACGGAGGATTCATGTGTGCACACAAAAGCTAGAGAGAGAGAGGAGCGGCATGTGGTCATCTACCAGACCTAACCAAGGCAGAAACACCAGTGCAGCTTAGAGAGAGGTCGTGGCAGTCACTTTAGAAGCTGGAAGCTCACTCAATTAAAGCACCTTACATTGCTGTGAAGTTTCACACTCTACACAGAGATTAATCTACACCATGATTTTGCCTTATTGGCACAAGAGCCCACCTTAATTAACCATATGGTTCCCTGCCACTTCCTGATCTTGTATGAATTTTGATGACCAGTTGCAGGTCACAGTAGGGAATAGAAATGTTACATTACTGTAGTAGAAAAGACAAAATAATTTTGAGGTAAGAGAAAGACGAAAAAAACAGAAGGGGACAAAAAGATTAATTTCCAGAAACGTGACACTCAAGTCAAATGTTAATTTATGGCATTGGTCAAATATCCATTAGCTCAAAAGTACCTCATATTAACATCAGTAAGAGGTGAGACAGAAAGCAAGCAAACCCTCAGGCTCAGTGAAATAAAGGAACAATTAAAATCTGTTCTTACAAACAGGCTACTAGGGCATGTATAAAATGGAGCATTTCAAGGGTTACACATTGAAAGTATCCTTTGGGAGATTATTTTTCCCCAGAAATAAGGTTTTCCTTTCAATTGCTTCATTTCGTTTTTCACCACCTTCTTACTCATTTGATGACAAAAGCAGGTTTTAGTTGCTTTTCCAGAGCAGCTGGGTGTTGTCAAAACCACATGATGGTAAGTATAGCCAAAACAAGCCAACTGCTCACAAAAGGTATGAAAAGAGCACAAGTTTGAGGAGGAAGGGGGCAGTAAAGGTGATTGGGAGATGAAACCCAGTAGAAACTTGTATGTGACTAGCTGTGATAAATAGCATTCTCCTCAGAGCAAACAGATTTATTCACAGAATCACAGAATATGCCAAATTGGAAGGGACCCACATGGGTCATCAAGTCCAACTCTTAGCCTTGCACAGGACTATCCCCAAGAGTCACACCCATGTGCCTGAGAGTATTGTCCAAACGCTTCTTGAACTCTGTCAGACTTGGTGCTGTGACCTTTTCCTTGCGGAGCCTGTTCCAGTGCCCAACCACTCTCTGGGTGAAGAACCTTTTTCTAATATCCAACCTAAACCTCCCTGACACAACTTTAGGCCATTCCCTTGGGTCCTGTCACTGGTCACCACAGGAAAGAGATCAGTGCCTGACCCTCTTCTTGCTACATCTGATCACAACTTCAGTGTGAACGTGTATGGGTGTACAGGTTTTTTTGTGTGGACACAGGACAGAAGAGAACACAGTGCAGCATAAAAATCTGTATTGTTAACCATTTACACATAAACTTCTCTCACTTTACCTCTTCTCTGGACACCAGTTGTAGAAGCTCACTGGTGTTACATTGCCAGTATCTTTTTAAATGCATTTTTCCAGGTTTTCTGCAACTAGAATCAGCCTTATTTCTGAAGGCTGAAGGAAAAACGAAGTTGTCCCAAATTACATGTTGTGTGTCTCTGAATAACTGTGGTTCCAGAAGTTGGACAATAATCCCCTGATTATGCTTCTAAACTCTTGCTTAATTACTGGGGATTTTTTGCCAGCTACCCATCCACTTGCAGTCCCTTAGGCACAATCAAAACATGTTTGCTCTAGGGAAAAGGAAACATTTCAGTGCAATCAAGCGCATCTGGTGTAACTAATCTGGTTAATCACAGCAATGTGAGGGACATAGAATATGCACTATAAACATGAAAAAGGAAGTTTTCAACATGCTTTTCAAACTGCACAATAATTTCTCTTAATTATTAATTCTAACGTAAAATGATTAAATGCATTTGTTTTAGCAAGTCTTAGTATTTCTGTCACCTTTAAATTTCGAGAACTGACTCAGGAATGCGAAAGAAAGCTAAATTTATAGAACTCTCACATACATTAATCAGCTGCTTAAGAGAAAAACAAGCGCATCATCCACATTCCTACTGAGACTCAAGGGCAGTAAATACATTTTCCTGACTATTTTGGTGTCCAGCCTGGGAAGACATTCCATTCTTCTGTTCCAACAGATCCTGAAAGCATCTCCTTTTTATGTGACTGTCCTGGTTTCATTTGAAATAACACTTAATTTAAAACTAGTCAGAGCATGATCACTGTGATTTCAAGAATTCAATGTGAATGAGTTAAGAAATATCAGCAATCTTCTGTTTGGCGTTCAGTCCAGTAGCATGAAGCATATTTGTCGCTGCAGAGACTTGGGTGGTTTTTTTTCTTCTTTCCTTTTTTCATTTTATTAATTTTTTAAATTTTTTATTTTTAACTTTGCCTGAAAACTAGACTAATAAAAACAGAATAGTAAAATACTCTGGAACAGTAAAATTTTGCTGTTCTTGACATCCATGAGCAAAACAGTAATATCCTGTGAAAATAACATAGTGCTTTAAAAAGGTGCAATATACCTGTATAGCTAAACTGGTTTGCCTAGTATAAAACTAACTATATACAAGCTTGAAAGCCTGGGAGTTCAAGATTTTCAAACTTTAAAATCCCATTAAAGAGATTGAAAAGACAGATTTATGGCAATCACTACAGCATAAGGAAGGTGCACCAGGAATCCTTCAAAATTCCAAAGGTTAAAGAAATTAAGTGCTGGGTTCAGATCAGAAGGGTTCATTAGAGTAACCACAATGGAGCACATGCAAGGGCAGGGAGGAAGGAAAACTTCACAAGAATCTCCTTTATGGCAATAAAGGGATGGGGTGGGGGAAGTCTTCAGTGAGTGAAGTTTTCCTTTTGTCATCATGAACTTTAATTCTGCGTTATAGTTTGTATTTTTGGTCTTCTCATCATTATGAACTTCATATTGCTGGAGTCTTCTGGCTTTTAGTCCATTCCTTTCTGAGTGCAGCCTGTCAGGCCTCTCAGTACCTGTGAGACTGATGAGATTGGTGATACTGAGAGCTCTGCTGAGATGATGTGGAATAGCCCATTGTACTCTGGGACTGAGAAGATCCCTGAATGTTGCTTTGGTAACTCAGGCGTGAGCTGGAGTGCTGCAGGAAAAAAAAAGAAAGAGATCAAGGGAATGAAAACCAGGCTGTTAGGACTACCAGCTCAGGAAGCTTTGAACCCTTCTCAAGGTCATTAAAACATAATTGTTGGAGAAGCTGACTAAAGAGTGCTACTATTTAGGGTCCCATAAAACAAGTAATCACTCTGATCTGCAATCAGCCCTAACACAGCACACAAAATACACAAGGTATTGGTAGACACCTAGAAGTACAACAGGTACACACCCATTTTCTGAAGGAAAAATACACAAGACACAAGAGCAGACTCCCTTTCAAAATTCATCTGTTTCATATAATTATTTCTGTCATTATTGTAATTGCTATTAATGCAAAATCAAACTGCTAAGGCCATAAATACCCTTCTCAGGATCCGTAATACTAAATGTTATAGAGAAACATTTTATTCTTTTCTGAGAAAAAGACAACCATGACCTTAGAGTTACTCAATTTATCTAAATGAAAAATTGTCCACTAAGAAAAAATAATATCATTTTAGGTGAGTCTTTCAACCTGCTGCCTTATCTACTGGAGATGAGGACAACTGCTTAAAGCTGGGCATGGGTATGTACAATAACCTAACGTTCATTTTCCTAAATGTTTTTCTCTTCCCCTCCACAGTTTGGGATGTCAGCTCAGTGGATCTCAACCTCAGCAAGAAAAATTCATGGACTGTTTGCAACCTCCAGCCTGATGAATTTGCTCTTTCATTATCACATCCATTCCCTGTCCAGAATTAATAGTGAGCTGCCCAATAATGCAAGTTGCAAAATCACTTGGCATGAGAAGTACTGCTCAGTGGACAGGAGACTCTCCAGCAAGATAAACCCCACCCCAATCCACATGAAAGGAGAGTCTACAACCTCCCCCCCCAAATTTGCAGTCAGCAAACAGTTTTGTTTCCAGCCAAGTTAAGCAAGGGTTCAGGCAGTCATTCAATAGAGTTTTGTTCACTGTCTAGTTGGTGGTTCTACTTGGCTATGTCCAAGGGTCATCAACAGGCCTGTGGCCAACAGCAATCATCTAGGAAAAGTGTAAAGAGCGTAACACTGAGATTAAATATCAGCATTATGAGTTCCAGAAAGGCCCTGGAGAAGTCTGAGTTCTCAACAGAAATCCCATGGAGACACTCAGTCTGTAAGAACACCACATCCTCCACAGACCAAGAATCTGCTTGGTGAAGGCAGTCAGTGGTCTCATCTAACCACTGGACCCCAACTAGGAAAGCTGTGAAAGCCTCCTAACAACTTTTCAGCTGGATGATGAAAGAGCAGGATCCTAAAGTTCAGGCAGTCTAAAACAGTTCTGCCCTTTGTTTCTGTACATGGCTTTATAATTTCAATTTTACATAAACTGTAAAACATACTAAATCCTAAAAACATCACATAACTTTTTCTGTGTTCTAACATAGGAATATGAAGGTTGCTTTCAAGGTGAAGCACAGTGAGGCTACAGTGAGAGAGAGAGGTAACAGTCCCATACTGGAGACCTGTGTATATCAATATAATACCAGTATAACTAATGGTTGTACCAAGTAACTTCACTTGTTTGTAAGGGTCAGTTTTGGAGGCAACAGCTCAGCACTCCAGTTTTGGAAGAGACGTGTCCCAGCAGCACATATGTTGTTAATAACCAGATTATTCTTGGCTTATTTAGTTAGGTTGTTAACAGAGTGTCTAAAACCTGAAATTTTTCTCTAAATTCCGAAAGTTTTTTCAATTTCTACTGGGAAAAAAAAAAAAGATTTTTTATAAATGGTATGATTTTATAGGAGCTTATTCTGGATGAAAAGCATCAGCTCACCCTGCTAAGCAAAACACCCAGGGTCACAAAAGGAATGCTCCGTAAAATTCAACAAGTAATTTGCACTGTCATTTGTGGAAGCAACATATACTGAGGTTGGTGAACTACAAGAAAACTTCAATGGAGACTTCAGATCACAAGCTAAATGAAACTCAAAGCAAAGGGAATCTTCTTCCTACTCCTGAATAAGATATGCTGGAGTAAAATTAATGCCATAAGACTACAAGAATGCATTAACTTGCCCATGCTTATTTTTGTTCCACATAAGAGAATTTGTTTTTAACAAAGTCAAACTTGGACAAATTGCAAACATTCCTTTCTGGAACAGAAGACAGTCAGCTAGAATTTAAGGGCAGAAAGCCAAACACGAATATAAAAATGGATAATCAGACCATACAATTTAGTGAGCGATGTAAAGGAAACATACAGATCATGATTTTGATGCCTTTGCTGTTCAAGTTTAGATAGAAAGCATCATAGAGGGTAAAAAAAAAAAATCTATCTGGAAAAAAAATATTTAGACTCTTAGCAACTTGTAAGGGGGAAGTTTGCCAACAATTCAGAGAGCTGGATAAGAATTCTATAATGGATATCATCAAACGCAGCACACCAGTCCTCAAAGTACAGACCAAAACAGACCAGCCATAAATACTGTGTATTCAGACAGCTGCAGTGATCTGTCCAGGCCTCAAGCCTGTCTGGAACTTTTCAAAAAAGAAACCTAGTTGTCTTTACCCTTAAATTGCCCTCAATGCCTTCATGATCATTTGTAATTAAAAGAGTCAAACAGAAATGGGAGAAAAATGTCTGGCACTGAGAAATCAATTGTCTGTGGAGAAGGTCTGGAGGGCTAAGTCAAGGCAACTCCAGAGCTTGGTGCTTTGAAAGCTACTTACTTTAAGTTTAAAGCAGCCTGAAAAGACTGTTCTCCAAGGTGGGATTCTCTGAGGCTAGCAGCAGAGTCCCTAACATCATTTAAAATCTACCTTTAATATCTACCTTTTTCTTATTCTGCTTTCAACTCATTACTGTTCCAGTAAGCATAAACTCAAAAGTACTGAAGATCCTGTTAAGTTCAATGCCTTCTATACTTAGTGTAAGCCACTTCTTCAGTGGAAAATATAATTCTAGTAAGCAAAGACGAATATGCAAACCCAAAAATAATTCAGTGATACTGCTTTTACTTATGAATGCTACTGTACTAGAAGACCTGAAATCTATTCAATTTTGGTCCCATTAGAAACAATGCATGTCTTTGCATTCTACTTCAGCATGAGTCATACAGATGAACCAAAACAACATTCCTGTGTTAGCATGCATTTTTCCTTTAACATTAGAAGTAGACTTAGAAAGATACCAGAATAAACTACAGAACCACTTCGTACATGTGATAATATGAGGTAAAATGACACAGGAATGAAATGGGAGAGCTTAGCTCTAACTTTACTTCTGCTTCTCGGGATCTTCTCAGATCTGCTCTTCACACAGGATTTAATATTGCCAAGACTCAAGTTCATCCTGAACTTGATGCAATGCAGCATTTACATCCACTGGCTTCAGTAAGATTACTCTCAAACATGAAGTTAAGCAAATATTAAAGTGTTTTCCTGAAATGGAAAGCAGGGTGCAGCAGATACAACTCAAAGTGGTATTGTATTGAAAATGACTAATCACAGAACAAAACCTTTTAACTTAAACCCAACATTTTAATATAATATATCGCAGCATGCCTGCTCAGGTTACTTGAAAAATTCATTAAAACATGATGTGTTCTTGCAGTGGGCAAGGGGGAAAAACGATGTTTTGGTCTTGCAGCATCAGAAGTAGCAAAATTTCAAAAGGTACCTGATAATCTGAAGGCATGACAGGCCCGCCTGAGTTAGCGCCTGAAGGCCCTATGCGTGGTTTCTTGTTGGGAGGCACCTGGTTGAGGCCGGAGTCCTGGCTGTGCTGGAGCCCCGCGCCCGCACCCCCTCCGCCCGCGCCAGCGCCTCCGGCCGTCCCGTTGGTCTGGGTGCTGTTCTGCTGCTGCGGCTGCGGCTGCTGCGCTGCTGCCTGCGGCTGCTGCTGAGGTGCTGTCTGCTGCTGATGCTGATTCTGCTGCTGTTGATTCTAAAGGAAGAAGAGAGACAACATGGTCACTTGCTCTAAGCTGGGTTTGTGAACTTCGCAGAGTTGCCAACCCAGGCCTGTCTGCTCCAGGAGAAAATACAGCAAGGCCAACTGCTGGGAGAAGTTTGTTCTCAGTACACTCTTGCACACCTTGTGGGGGGTATCCCATTTGTGACTGGTTTTCTTCTTTAATGAAGAGAGTTGGACTTAAACTGGAAAGACAGTCTAGTGCCTCCTACAGCTAGCCAAGTGCTCAGAGGACAGAAGGAACCATTTATAAAGCAGTAATCATCTAACAAACTAAATCAAAACTCCCAAAATTTCTCTAGTGCTCAGCGGCAGACATGGTGAACCACAGCAAATTATTCTAAGAGCTTCAACAGCCTTGTTCACTCAGAATCAAAACCATTTTTCAAACTTTCACATCATAATAACTCGAAGAAGCATTACTGCCAGAAAGGTAAGCAAATTGAGACCAGAGAAATTATATAATTTCTTCTAGTTTGCAAGAAAATTCTGTGCAAAACCAGAAACAGGTTTCATTACTGTGCTTTTAAGCACCTTGCAAAGAGTGCTATAGTGGAAATAGGGTCCAGCATGGTGCACCAGGCATAGGGTCAGAAAATCTTACTAAAATAGCATAAAAGTGAAAATTAACCAGAGATAAGTAGTTGAAGACAAAAGAGGAGGAAACAGCTGGAGAAGAATTTGGTAAGGGCAGGAGAAGACTAGCAAAGGGAGGGAAGCCAGATAATTAAGATGACACTGGGACCTAGTAGGAAGAGAGGCAGAAAAAAGCGCCACAAAAGGGAGAAACAAGGTTAAGAAGGAGAACACAAGAGCAAAAGATATTGTACGCTTCTGGTTTCAGAGGGATACAGACTTAAAAGAGTATTAGGGAAGTGGAAGGAAGGTCAGAAAGAGCAACTCTGCCCTCCATGGTTAGACAGTTCTGGGAAAGACCACCCATTCACCTGCTTTTGAGCACCAGGGATGGCTCCTCCATCAGAGCACTAAAGCACATAAGAAAATTGCAAAGAACAGCAATTTCTCTCCAAATGTGAGATTTTTCAATTGGTTATCATAGAAAAAACCTACAACTGACATGGCTTGAACTGAAAAGCCTTATTACCCTTCCCCCAGTATACTGTAGGGAACATTCCAGGATAGTATTTTTTTCCTAGAATATCTGCTTATATAAAAATTCAAGCATGGTAGTCTTTTATAAAACCCTGACTTTATTAGTTTCCCAGAAATCATGACAACCAGTTGCCACTAGGAGAAAATTCTTGATGCCCCAATCATCAAGATGCACTTAATTACCTCAGATAAAGAACACAAAAGATCTGTATCTAAGCCATTCATCACAATGGTCTCCCAAGATACATTCAGATGAAATTTGCAATGATGTATTCATTAAGATTACAAAGAAGCCTTGCATCTTCAAGGACTTCAAGATGGCTTTCAATTCCATTTCACATTCAGCAAAACTAATAATGTATCCTCCTGCCTGCAGTCCTCAAATCCCATCTCAGTCAGATTCTGTATCCTGTGAAATTTAGACTTCAATAATTTAAAAAGTTAATCAAACTAGCTTGTAAAAAATCTATTAAGAAGCAATTAATCTTTTCATAATGATTTGAGCTTCACTTACAGAAAAACCAATAACTAAGGCAGTATTTGTGCTAGAATTGCCTAAGTTGTGTTTTCATAGGGGTGTTTGGATGCAATGTGAGGTTGCTGCTACTGTGTGAGCTGAAAAGTTGCAATTTTATGTGTAAACAAATACTGCAGGAACACTCATAATTAAAGACAAGAGTTTGTTGAGGTCCCAAGTTTTGCGCTTTGGATTTTGGCACAAAATTTACTTGATTAGCCTGAGCTTGCTCTTCTGTGGACCTGCTCTGTCAGACTACAGCTGAGGTCTAGTTGCACCACATTACTGCACAAAAATGGCTTACACCAGCAAAGACACTGTCCTCGGGTCAGTCTGGTTCATGGTGGTTCCTAAACGAATAAACTTATAAAAGGCCTACAGTTAACAACATATTGACACCTGTTACCTCTCAGGCACAAATTACCAAAATCAAATTTTGGTTCTACCTAAGAAAAAACCCAGCAGAAACTTGCCTAACAGAATTTGAATGAGAAGAGAATAGTTTCCCTTTGTGCTACAAACCCTCATTTTAGCTTTGCTGACTAATGATTATGCATTTTGAAGAATGGATGCTTATGTTAAATGTTATTCAATTCAGATTCAAGTTCCAAATAAACAAACACAGAGAACTTCTCCCGGTTTCCAAAGGACTATACAGATGTTTATGGTTTTAAAACAAAGCAAAAACAAAGCAGTATATAAAAAAAAAAACAAACTTCATTTACAATAACATCATAAAGCAACAAAACATGGTACACATTTAACTTCCAGAATATCCTTTACCTCCACATTGTCTACACTGTGGGAACACATTCAATGAGTAATGTGTGACTTATATTACTCAACCGGTCTGAAAAAAGTTTAATTTGGAGTGTGCATAAATACGTGACCGTCATCAACAATCTGAAAGACCATTTATATATTGGCTGTTTTGAATATAAATATGCCATTGACATCACCCCCCAAAGCATTCCCAGGAAAAAGGTATTTACTTTTAAGTACACTGACTTGAAAGTAAAAAACCAGAGTAATCTTAATTCATAAGGTTTCTTCTTGTTTGTGAAGCTGTGAGAGCTGAAGCAGAACTCGTAACTACATTACAATCAAATCACTATTATGACTTTCATTTTATTTTTGTTTAAGGGTCTGTTTCCTCTTTTTGAAAAAACTATCTGGACACAACAATCATGGATGTTACCACTTGCTCTCAGTACAGAAGAACTGCAATATCAGTTCTGAACACAAAACTTGCTCTCTGAAATGTATTTTTAAACTCAGCTTGTTTGTCACATTATGCAGAAAAACGAAAACAGAAGATGCACGTAGTCCAACGGTTTCTCCAAAAGATAACAGTCCTTCTCACATAGTCCTCGGATAATTACAGTTCAAGACTGTTCTCTTCACATTTTGTTAGCTATTACTGTTGGTGCCTCACTGTACACTGTTAAGTGAAAATAACAAGCTGTTTTTTACACCATAGCACTACTGTCCAGCCTTTACAGCATGATGGGATAATCCCTGTGGTCATGTAGCACAGCTGAGCTACACACACCAAGCAGATCAGATTATGTTGCAAACACACCAAAGTTTACTATGCACACAAACAAGTTCTCGCCCATGTCTATGGGGCTATGAGAAAAAGAATACTCAGAGCAGATTGTCACTACTTGAACAGTTCACAGTCCTTACTACTCCTGTGTTTGAAAGCCCTTAAAACATGATCAGGAAACTGTGTGCAGATGGATGAAATGTTCTGATGTAGTGCCAGAAGCAGGCTGCCACTATTTATTTGAGACCCCAACAGCCATCTCCATTCAAATGGCTGGATGTATGCCAGTCATACAATGAAAATGCCATTCTCTTCATGTGCTCACAATGTATTTTCATCATGCAATGCTGGAGGAAGCAGCAAGGTCCTCTTGGAATGACAGCAGCTGAAAGCAGGCTGTTGCTGACACAACAGCCCATAAAGCTCATTTCCTCACAGGTCAGGGCAAACCACACTGGTAATACCACCTGAGACACCCCAAAGTCATCTGATACTTTTCATATTTCTGAGAAGCAGTTTTAAGAGAGCTGAGCATTACCTCAGAAAAATATTTTTTGTTAACTCTTCGTGTTTCATTAGTTTTCATTTGGTAGCACCATGATGCTTTCTTATTGCATATTTAAAAGTGGGGGTTTTTTAAAGAAAAAAGGATTTTATTATACCTTATCCCCTTTCTCTTCAGGTTCATCTTCATTGAGGAATTCTCTTTTAGGATATGGAATCTGACAGCCAGCAAACACACTGAAACACAGTAAACAGTAAACACTCCACAAATATATACATATGGCATACATTTACTTAACACCATGTTAAAAACAAGTGCATATAACGTAACTTAATTTCTTGTATTTCATATGTTCTGTTTCCAAAAGTGAGTGGCAGTGTGAGCACTCAAGATAGGTGCTGATCATAACGTCAGATCTCTTTGCTGTTGGCACTAGGCTGTCATTTAGAAATCATGGCATGGTTGAACATGCCTGAATGCCAGAACGACCACTTGTTGATCCAGATGATAAAATGAACAAACACAGTGCCAGAGGTTCCACAACACCCAGTTAGAACATGCATGGCTCACTGAATAAAGGGCCTGATCCAAAGAGTATTAGTGTCTTATGAGCCTGCCTTGGCTTACAGCAGGCTTAAATATATTTGCCAATCACAACTGCATAGTTACTTTCAATAAGTTTCCCAGGTCTTGCTGAGGGAAAAAAAGATAGTTTTCAAGTTCCACTCGCCAATGGAATTTGGAACATTCCTTAATGCTTATGGCAGACACTTTATCACAATGTTATCCTGTAATCCATGAGGAGCTATAGCTCTACCTAGGATAGCATCAGATAAAGGTTAAACAGAAAATTACTGGTAGATCTTGCTCAGTATCAATTTCTTAGATTTCTGCATCAATGTTCAGAATACAATCAACGTGACACGATTTTTAAAAGTGTGTAAACAAGAAAAAGAAATTTAAAAATGCCCAACTAGTCTCAACTAGATTCCTTTTGCACTCCAGTGACTGCTCCCTCCTTTTAGTGTTGCCTGCTGGCTGAGGAAACAATGAAAGCAAAGGTGGAAGTCTCCCTGCATCCAGTTCCCACAGAACATAATGCTATGCACCACCATGCTTCTAAACACTGGGAAGAGAAACTGTAAGTCTGCCAGTTGGAAATGAATATATAATTTGAACTTTTCGCGACAATAAAATACAGAGAGAGAAATTCTGTACTCTCAAGCCTTTTGAACAAGGGATTTGTGGCATTTTAGGCAGTCATTTTTCTCTTCACTCTTCTCATACTGTTACCCTGTGCAAGAGGGCATAGGAAAGGGCTGTAGGTCAGAGAACTGTCCTAATCTTAGGGAGGGGCACAATCAAACCAGGCAATGGAAGACAGGGCTCTATGAGGCTGCATAAGGCAGAACAGAAGAGGGAATAGATTAATTCTCTAAATACTGCAATAATATTGTCCCTCTAGCTTTGGTAATATGCTCAGAATTACACCACTAGTGTGGTACTGGGTTATTTTTCATGACCATTTAGTTCTGGTGCCAATAGATACAGACTATTAGTGTAGTTTCTGCTGAGCATGTCTGAGCTACTACTTCTCGTGGACACAGACAGATATCTGAATGTTTCAGATGTCATGTAATTTCAGGGATGAGCATACAGCAGAAAGAAGATGTGCACAGACAAGGGAATACATACTCTGATGTAGGCAGAGGATCCTCTTGAAAGTAGGGGTCCTGCAAAGCCTGCTCTGAGGTAATTCTCTTTGTAGGGTCCATAGTAAGAAGCTTCTGAAGCTGTAAAGCATAACATTAAAAAAAGCAAAAAGTTCATCAAACTACTATTTTTCAAACTATAACTTTTATGTCTTGGATTGTGGATTACTAAATTCTTTCTGGCTTGTCCAGACAAGCATAAGTTAGCATTGCTTGTCCAGTGAAGTTCCTGAGAACTACAATGCACATCCATCAAAGTACTGTGAAGTACAAAGGCTGTGAAGTACTTCTCGTGGAAGAAATAGTTAGGTGTATTAGGCAATATTAATTGCTAAGGCTAAACCACTTTGCTAAAGTAACACTAAATTCAGCTATTACAGGTTCATAAAGCATAATTTATAAATAATGTCTTTTTGTTGCGGCACATGTATAGCTTTTATACTGTTCTGTACAGCTAACACAAAATGAAGTGTCAGAACAGACTGAACATAACCAGGACTCTTCATATCGCTTTAGGGACGGAAACAATAAATCTTCATTTCTTACACTGGCAACATTCCAGAGACAGAGCACTCTGATACTCATGCAGCTCCTCAAACCTACTCTAATTGGTACTGAAATGAGAAAGAGGGGGAGTAGACCCTTCCTAGTAACCTTTCTTCCTTGCTAGGAGGAAAATAAGCCTAAATCTATTAGCCAGAATGCTTTTGACTGCAGCAGGCTATAAAAGAGGATTACAATACATTAGTAGTATAAACAGCAATTATAGGCATATCATACCATTTTAAAGAGTGAGTTATTTATCACATTCTGATAAACTCACAGTAGGAAATTTGGGTGCTCAAATTACATTATACAGTATCCTGCTCTCATGCAATCCTCTCTTAATTCAAGCCAGTAGTAAAAATAAAATTTCTTCTGCAAAGGATATCTTAGCTCAAACTGTCTTTCGGTCCTCCAACAAAAACTGCCTGAATATTCAGCAAAAGAATGTGATTTTGGCATGGGTATTTGGGGCTTTTTCTTCCAATAAATTAAAAATCTGATATACAATTCTATATTCTATATATTTGCTACAATAAGCAGCCTCAGTAAGACTACCCATCCTCCTCAAGAAAGATGATTCCTTGTATTTCCTTTCTGAATAGTTATAGTTAATTCTAGGCCTGGTAGATAAGGCCTATTAAATTCTTTGTACTTCTGCCACTTTCTTCCCACCTATCCTTATTCACATATTTTATGGGCCATGGACCTCAACAGACTGACAACACAACAAAGAGCTATTTGGGCTGTCTCTCCACCTATCAGTTCATTTGCAACCAGTTCCTGAAATTAATTCTGCTGCTTGCCTAGAGATACACCTCAAGATAGTCCTGCACTGCACACACCTGGAGAGCTCACCTGAGACCATTTATTTTTTATTATTATTACTGTATTTTTGTGTGGTCAGATAACTCTTAACCCTATGTTTCCCATGCATCTTAACAAATCGAACTTCTAATGTGCTATTGTCTCTGACCTCACACAATATATACCACAATTTGGGGACTCCAGTATCTTTACTTCAAATCACCACCTCTCCCTACATGCAAATTTTTTGTCAGTTATAGCAGCTTCTGACGCATTTCTTCTCCCCAGTTCCTTCACAGTGACTGGAGGACAAACACGCACATTATGTACAAGGCCACTCCTGGTCTTTGGCACCAGATGTCATCCTTGACAGAAGAGTAGACGGCATCAGCTCTGCCCCCCGGACTCCTTCCTCAGACCTCCTTGCTGCAGTACTACTCAGGAGAAAGCTCATACAGTTTGCTGCCATATAAACACCATCATCACAAACTGCCTCCAAACATGACCTGTATTCTTTGTCACTCAAAGATAAGACTAATGTACCACAGCAGAAGACCTAAAGATATCTTGGACCTTTTAATGATCTGCTCCTTCCGTCAGCATTCACTCTTCACCCCGAGGATACCATCAGTTTGCTCATTCCAAGTGACACCACACATAACATCACTCCAAGTGAGATAATCTGCCTATCAGTGATGCCACTGGACACCAACTTTCTTTTAGAAGGTCTGGTTACGCGTAGCTTCTGGGAAAATGAATAAAAAATGTCTAGAGGCAATTTGTTTTCAGGGTAGCAGTTGCTAACACAACATAGCAAACCCATGAGACTAGACTTCATCAGAAGTCTTACTTTCAGCAGGTCTCAAAATTGCTCACTCTTGGGCTCCCCTGGCCTGACATGACAGCTATAAATACTATGCTTGTAACTCTTCCAGGACAGCAAGAATAGATGCCTCTTCCTGAATGGAAAACATTCTGCCCTTCATGTAGATATTATCATTCAATGTCAATCAGCAGAATGGCATAATATTCACTTTCTCAAGAGCCACTTGCTATCCTGCACTGGTCTACTCGATGCCATCTGTTCTCCAAGCACCACACTTTCTGTACTCATTAGCACAAGGTCTTTATCAATGACTGTTACAAAGCAGATGCCTTCTGAGGTCACCTTGCAAGATGGAGGTTGCCTCAAAAAATAACCACCTTGGATACGAACAAGGAGTTTTAGGGAGTCTGCTTCAAAATACATTTACCTCCAAGCTCATTAGCAGACATATTTCTTATCTCATGATATGGGAGAGCAATGCACACCTTTCCTTCAAGATCTGCTGTATTTTAGGATCTTTCATGAGATAAGGTAGATACTGAGCCTCTTTGCTGTAGCATGGCTATGGCAATTTTTAGGTGCATGAACCTCCTCAGTACAGCAATGAGGTATGAAGAAGGTTGTTCATATTCCTGGGTATTCTTATGCAGATCTCTGGGAGACTGGCCTATCTGAGATCAGCCTCCATCTCTGTGGCTGATCATTAAAATACCCTTATTCATCCCTGATTATGAACTGTGAGAAAAACCTAACAGAAACTACCTTGATTACCTTGATAAGCCTTCTTCAGGATGCTCAGAAAGAACAGTAAAATATGGTTAGTTTTTTGTTCTTTAGAGATCTTGTTAATATTTCCTCCTGGAAAAGCAGCCTACCCACCCAAGATAACTCTCAACTTTGTGTTCACAACCTTGATGAATTAGCTGTGTATGCTGACAGTAACTCATTTGTTTCTCTGCCTTTCTACCAGGTTTTCTGGTGGCTTCCACCTTTTGTAGGAAAACATGGAAGTTCACGTGCTAATAAAATCATCTTTTCAGTTAGACTTATCCTCCAGGTGATTCCAATGCGTATCCAGTAACTTGAGTTCAAGAAGTTTTAATTCACTTTTATTCAAGTCTCACACTTCTTATGGGAATGCTTCCCTTCCACCCACTTGGGATTAACCTACTCTGTTTCCACAGCTATTTGTGTCATCATCCAGCAGCTACTAACAAGTCAAAGAGCAAATCTTCGCCAGGACCTAGAGAGATGACTGCTATGCTGAATCTGTAAGTGAAAATAGATCACTGGAACTCAAGCTGCACTAAGCCTTATTGCAGAGGCTCCCTGTTCACAGTACTAGCAAAGTCACTTTGAACTTAATTCCTAAATTTAGACAGCACTAATTCATCACAGAGGCATCCAGGAATGATCCACTGGCCTACAGTGGATGACTCAACTAGGTAACCAGTATATATATGTTTAGGGATTTTGTTTGGAATTGCACACAGAACAGTGGTAGACTATTGTCAGAGGGAAGAAAAAGAAAAACAAATTACTACAGAAAATAAATTTCTCCTTTCCTCTTCCCTTTCTTCACAAAACTCTTTAGCTTTTGGGAGCTCTCTAGCTCTCTGGGACAACACAGAATCAAGACATATACTATACTCACTCTCCTATTTGCACAACAGACCTAAAGGTAAGGCTGAATATACAAGTGCCTTGCAGATCTTAATTACAGAAACTCTCAGATCTTCACTACCAGCAGTTTAAGCACACCTCAGCATAAATTTATATGAAGAAAACACATCTCAAAAATGGCTAGTTAGTGGTAAATAGCTTTCTTAGATATTGGTGTTCATTAGAGTGAGACAGAAGAACAGACACAGATATTACCATTAGAAATGTATTTCATTCCTGTCATCACAGCAATTTTCAAGTTGCACCTACCAAAAGAAAAACTTTGCTGTCAGGCTTGACTTTGTGTTTCTCCATGTATTTTATGAGGCTACTATTGGCATATCTGAAAAATACAGTTAAAGAAAGATATGTCTGAAATAACTCTGCATTAAAAACATGGGACTCTATCAAAAACATTTACCAAATCACAAAAACATTTACCAGCCCTTAATAAGTAAGCTATAAAAAGAACTACTATCAGAAGACATGTGAGATATTTATCTAGCAGTTGCACATATAAAGTGTGCTTTTCACCAACAAGAGTGCTATCAACTGTGTAAAGATTATTTCCATGAAACATGCAACTTTTATAGTATATGGATAAACTGTTGATATGGACATATGACAGGGAGACATAACTTGAAGTTTATATCCTAGTTTTCTAAAGCAACTCTACTGTAGAAAGTGTTCAGCCCCTTGTAAGAGCTCAACATCTAAGCTATTAAGTTGTTTCCAGTTACAATTTGGCAGAGCAGTTAAGGTTACCAGTATGGCTTCCCAATCCCAACCTGCAGCAAATCATATAGTTCTTCCAGCTTCCAAGCTCAAAGATGTCTCAAATATTTATTACCTGTGCCTTGCCTTTCATTTACAGCTCCAGAGGTTATCTATAGCCATTTTCAAAAGAAAGAAGCTTCATGCACAGATAAGCTTCATGTCTTGTCTAAAAGAGAGTGTAATGAACCCATGGCAGAGCTGGAAACAGAATCCAAAACTTCTGAATCCATGTCCTCTGCCTTACAACAGTCTGTTTGGCTCCTTACAAGTTCTGATCTATCACCACCACTTGACTAATTTAGCCAAAGCACCAGAAAACAGTAAAAGTGGAAAATTCTCAGACCCCAGACAGGCTTTGAATCACAACCTCTTAAATATGTTACCTTCCATAGAAATTTCTGTCCACTCTACTGCTGTCTCTGCATATCTGCTTGTCAAAAGTACCAGTACTTCCCTATTCCTTCTCACACAAAATGAGTGAAGTTATCTTGAACATGGAACGTAAGTGCGTTAAGCAAGCTCATTTGTCTGTGCCTGCCATAGATTAAATGACATTTATGACAACACCCTTCTAGAGAAATGGGGAGGCCACTTAGTTGATGTTTTTAACAAGCAGCTGTGGAAAAGAACAGCATTCAAGCAAACCAGCTAGTTCAAACAGGACAGCTGTCATAGTGTTAGAACCCAAATGCTCCAACATCCCCTCCCCAAAAAGTCAGAGCATAGGAGGTGATTTCTGCCTCTGCTACATTCAGTGAACTGCTGTTGCATTATCATTACTTACGTTGTTCTCCTAAAATCTTTCTGAAGAGTTGGATATTCTGGCATCTTTCTTATGTCTTCCCAGTCTTTATCTTTGGTAGGGAGGGGAAAAAAAAAGCATTTACAATTCTGAATGTGTAGGTTAAGTAATACATGAGAAGAAATAACTACAGCAGTTGTTTGACTTCCTGTTTGTTGGCCAGTGCTATTGTTCCATAATTGTCAGCATTTCCAAATCCATCAAATTGTCAGATTCTTTGTACCTATACAAACAACTACTCATTTCCTTTAGAAAAAAAAAAAAACAAACCCAAAAAAACCAACTCAGTGGTGTTACATCTGATGCTTTAATGAAAATAAATTACCTGCAGGGAATCCCATTACACTGAAAATGCGGTCTAGCTGATCGTGATGAAAAGGATTACTTGTTTTGATGTCCTCCTGGCGACAGTGAAATATAGGTTCTGAAGTCAACAGTTCAGCAAATATGCAGCCAATTGCCCAAATATCTATGAAAAAAGGAGGATAATTCATGCAAATTTACTGTACTCAATCTCTCTGGTTTTTGTTTCTGCTCAAGTTCTCAACCTTCACAGTAAAATTATATACAGTACTTTAAAAATAATGCATTAGTATAATACATTAAAAAAAGGGTAAAATTTGGAGGGTTTTTTTTTCAACCAAAATTAGAGTTTCCAAATCCAAGTCACACAATGACAGTCCAGCACTTCATGTATTCACAGTTATGGCAGAAACCAACACAATATTTGCTGACATAGTGCTTAAAGGGCATTCAACTGACCATCAAAATCAAATTATAAATACCCCATAAAGATATATGGTAGAATTATTATTTCAATGTATTTCAGAACAATTTCAAACAGATAACTGATAACCAAATAGACACTAAGAAGGAAAACACTAATGAGTCATATGTTTAACCAAATGGTGCAAGCCAGTCACAATGGAGAAACAAGATCCTAATTTTAATCAAGAGTAGAATAGTGATACCAAACTTCAAAAAAAAGAACACTGCAACAATATTTTAATTCTTTCATCTACATCTCACGCACATAAAAGAAAACAAAAGCATAGTATTTAACAGTTGGACTTGATGATCTCAGAGGTCTTTTCCAACTTTAATGATTCTGTGATTCTATATGCTGATGTTTTACTGAAACAACAAAAAACACTCCCCATATTTCACTGATATGCTTTTTAGATTAAATCTATTGTGGACAAGAACATTAATTTACAAGAGAATAATTTTCTAGATTACATGTATTCATTTTAGTTACTGCTAATCACCACCCATCTTAGCGTTCCGTGTGACTCAAATGCTTTATTATGCATCTTAAAATGAAAGTGTGAATTTGTCAGTGAGAAGAACGTGGTTACTGTCCTAAAAAAAAAAAATATTTGCTACACCAACAAATATGTGTCTGGGATATAACTTTGGAAAAAGGTGTTGAGATCAGATGAGTAATGAGCATAGATTGCTGAATACAAGACTGTGGAGACTTATGTAGTCATTGAGGTTAAATTAGATGACCCTGAGACATTTTTTTGATTTTTTCAAATTTAATGGCACAAATTAAAAAAATAATAACTTTAATGTATAGGTTTAAGAGATAAAAATTATTTAACTGGAGTTTGGTTTATTGGATTTAGACTAAAGAAAACACCAAGAGAGGTCTCTTGTTTGTTGCAACTAATCTGAGATTCAAAATCCTATTTGTTGTCAATAGTGGTCTTTGGCCTATGCTGCCTGAGACACAGAGTGCCCTGAAGAAAAAGCACTGCTCTCTTTATGCAGGTAATGAAGAAATAAGCCATCACACTTTGCCAAAACAGGTCAGTTCCATTTCCATCATGTTACAGGTGTGGAGCTTGGGGTGTCCTAACATATCACCCTTTCTTCCTACTTCCTTTACAGGAAAGTCTGATGACATTTCACTCAGACTTTACAGTTCTGACAGGGTATAACTTGTTCTGTGCATTACATCACATTCTTGAGGTTTTATCTTCCTTTCATTTTTCTATTAGCCTTATCTGCATGAAAACAGTATCTTTAGCTGTTGAGATTTTATCTGCTCAAGCAGCTAATGCAGCATATTAATCACAATTGCTGCCTCGGTAGTAGGCATAAATTATCTACTCCAGAATGAAAATTACTTATTATTTGAAGAATAGAATCTTCAATTAACAGTATCTATTTGTTCATTTTCAGACTAAAGAGAAAATCCTCCCAGAAATGGTTTATCTAGAGGCGAAAGGAATTGCAGCTCTCTTGGTTTTGTTGGCTTTCTGCAGTGCTCACCATCCAACACATAGTAAGGGAGAGGCTGGACCACTGCTCATTATTCTGTTCATTACTGCTCTACCCAGACTGACCTTTTCCTTTTAAAGAAAAAAAAGTAAAATCTAGTATTCTCATTGACAGCAAAGCTGAACTGGGAAATCTCCCTGATGAGACATAGCAAACTTCAAAACTGTTTCTCCTTCATCATCTGAACTGTGAGAGAGCAGAGCCACCATGGAAACACATTCCCACTTCCTGACCCAGCGATTACTACAGAGAGTACATTTTAAACCCTTTGAGAATTCAGAAAGGCAAACATTGTACCAACTGGATGTTATATCTGACCAAACACTGGTAACTCCCAAGCTGGTGTTATAATTTTCTGTGGGATGGCATTATTGGGAAACCATTCTCACAGTTAATAATTTTCTGCTAAGTTTGGCAAATCCCCCCTTTTTTAAACATTCATAATTCACAGTAATAATTTACCACACATGGCATTTTTTCTAGCAGGAATGCCTCATTAAATTCTGCCAAGTTTACAAGCTTAATAAATGCAAGCAGTCTTAATAGGTATTTATCTTCTACATTGTTCATATTAGTCAAGCAAATACAAACTTCAGCTCTAACTATGGAAAAAATTTCCTACCCAGTGCCATTTCACGTTTTCAACTTGTGGGCCCTAAAATAAAGTTTAATTATTATTACATGTATTCCAAATCTATTCCAAGTAAGAAGAACTACCCCTCAGAAGAGAGCATGGACAGGGCAAAACTTAAATCACACAAACAGTATTTTTCAAGTACAGAGTATTATTAGTTTAATGCACATCATCTGCTTCTAGCACAAGAGGAACTTCTCATATTGTTGTATAACAATTTCATTATAAATAAAACTTCTTTTAAAAATCAAGTACCAAAATAAGTGGCAAAAATGATCCAATAATTGGTTCACTGCTCTGCCCTCTACTAATGACCAAGAGGGTGAGTTGTCTCATTGCTCCCAAGCCAAAACTAAAACTATAGACAGTATCCATTTGTTATGTCCCAGACCCACCAAAAACTGGGACATACAGGTCCTACAAAGTTGCAATGGGTACTAAGTGGTTTTCCATCTGATGTCTTGGGAGGATCCTAATAAATTTAGCAGAGTAACACAATCATTCCTAGAAGGATGGTTCTGTTTCCTTCAGTCTCTTCTACTATCATCAGACTTCAGGACTAATCTGTGGTAAAAGGTTTTCACTGCTTTTTGAGATGTGTTGTCTTGTTGGGGTTCACCCCTCCAAGACTTCCCACTTTCCCCAAGTTTACACTGAACCTGAGTGCAAGCCAGTTTTGCTCCCTGGGTCTGGGAAGAGGGGTGGGAGTGACTTCTAACCAAACAGCTTGCTCAGGTTCTATTCAGTCCTACTCTCCAGCAAAATATCTTTCCATTGTAACAATACTTTTCAGGTACTGTATAATTTTATAAAAAGAACAGAACTAGCCTTTTAAAGGTGGCCACTTGTGGTTAGGAAACAGACTTTCCATATATATACCTGCATGCAGAGATTATTAGAATATTTGTATGGCTGTCTACGTCCCAGTTTTAAAACCTGTGACTCTAATAGCTTTATAGGTCACCTGAAAAAATCCCCCACGTCCCACTCTACGTTAGCACAGCAGCCAAGGAGCAAGCACAAGAGGATGGTGACACAGCTGTTTTAATGATAGGGATGATTAAGCCGACAAATGCTCATGTATTCTTTCACTTCTGTGGCCCAATAATCTCATTTCTGTATTTGTTCCAATATCTTGGAAACATTCTTTAAGAATACTATGACCATTTAAGACAATAAGACAATTTACTGAGCAATAGCCCTGACTCTCAAAATGAAACATCTTTTCCCATGCATATTAGCCAAAATGTTTCACTGAACACAACACAGAATTCAAGATTAAATATGTTATGATTGTTAAATATATGCAAGAAATAAAATATATAAACAAGCTCTTGGTCTCATATAATTCTTTAATTAAATTCTGTTAAAGAAAGTGAGTAAACACTTGGAAAGCATGTATTTAGCTGAAATCAATCTGAGGAATTCATCATTAGTGAGGTTTGGTTTAGTAGCATCAGCACTCAAACAAACTGCCTTTTTTTTTGTTTTGTTTTGAACACCAAGTCTAGGCTCTAGGACACATCCAAACGCTGGTGAAAGAAGTGAAGAGCAGAGGGACAGCAGAATAGAGCTTCTCTATACCCACCAAGGGCTAATGCAATAACCAAGGTACCCAAAAGCTAATTAGCAAGGCTTTAGCCCAAACAAAGCTGTCCAGGTCACCTATAAGAGCTACAGCATTTATGTAAGATTCACCAAAACTTTCAAATCAATGTAAGGGCAAAAAATGAACCAACAGACTGGAAATCTGAAAGGGGGCTGTGCAGGCAAATGTGTCTAATTTTTTCAAATAACCATCAATTGGTGTAATGAAAAGGTATAACCTCTGCAAAAACACATCTTGCATCTCTTCTGCTGAGCACAGCAGCAGATTCTAGACTTATCAGGAATCTTTACACACAATGATCTAGGAGCGCAGAGATGCTACAGAAAATGAGTTTATTAATCTTTACACTGGTTTTAAATACCTAAAATCAGATTTAAGAAAATAATGTATCTTTAAAGAAGGATTTCTTTAGTCTAGTTGTTGCTGTTACATATAGACACACAAGGGAAAGATCTTCTCATTTGTACAAAGGTCCCAAATTTTGTATGCTTCATTGAAACTTTAGTCAGCAAAACAGAAGGTCAAAGAAGAAGTGATTACTAGCCTTCTAAATTTGATACCTTCCATGGAGAACTGCAAAGGGGGTCAAACATTTACATGTGACAGGTTTTTCAAGGGGAAGTAAAAAATGGTGTCAGTGGGCTAAGGGTCAGAAATTTGCTGTCACTCATCGGTAAGTTAGGTAATGTTTACCGATCTTTAACAAAAAGCATCTCAACAGAACATGGCTGAAGAATAACTTACACTGTAAAGCCATAAAGATGACTGTACTACAGGCAGAAACAACACCTCTCAGTAATCTGAGGCATGCTCACAGCCAGCCAGACACATATCTAAGAACAATATTTTATTTCAAAAGCATGTTATCTCCTGTGCCTTGATAAAGAGCCAAGATAATTCAAAACTTTTAACTGCAAACCCATATTAATTCAAATTA